CTCCTCCGCCCCTCACCGTGCCACCCACACGCCGCCACCCTCACCGCGCCACCCCACCCAACGCCGCCGCCTTACGCCGCCGCCGGAGCCCCTCGCTCTTCGAGGTACTAGCCCCGCGCCGCGTCACCTTTTCTTTTCTCGGATCGTTTTCTTCTAATCGTTCCGATTCTTTTCTTCTCTAAACCGTTCCGGTTTTCTAGATCGGTTTTTCGTTCGGTTTTCTTCTCCGAAACCCTAGATCGGATTCGTTTTCTTTTCCGATTTAGTTGCCTTTGGACCGTTCGCCGGACCGTTCGTCTTAACGAACGTGATCACCTGATCGCCTCGGTTAATGAACGTCTGTTCGTTTAAACCGTTCGTCGTTTTTCTTTTAATCGGATTTAATCCGTTATTTTTCTGATTCGATTTCTGATCCAATTTTCAAATCTGTTTTATTTCTTGCTCGTTTATCGGAATCAGGTGATTCAAACGCCTGGAGTTTCGTAACGAAACCGCCGTTCCGACTAACCAACTTTCACAGAGTTTTGCTACTGTGAAATTTTGACCTAATTTCAGATTTCTAAACCGAGTCGTTCTCTCTCGAGTTCCGACTTTCGATGCCTTATTTGATTCGATTCTTTTGCAACCAGGATTCTTAAGTTGAACTCTCTGGTTAGATCTTTTATTCGAGATTTCCCTGTGCATTAGATGAGTACTTATTGTATGCTTGTTGTTTGTCTGCGTTAGATCACCCGGAGTGCGCCGCTTGTTACTTCGAAACCCTAGGACTCGCGGATCATCAGCAAGGCAAGTAACACTTTGATCATACCTTTTCTACAACCCATGTTTTATTGCATTAGATCAATCCTCTCACATTGCATGATTAGGATCTAATTAAATTGTGGGATGGGAAGTAGATGAGGTAGTACCTATTACCTGTATTATTATGAAACCTTTGGGAGTTACTCTACGTTTGCTTATATTGCCATGCTATGCTAGTAGACGTGGATTGGGTGAGTGATATCCATGACAGATGTGAGATTGATAATTTTAATGGTTTATCTAAGGTGGCAACTTAAACACACATCTGGGTGGATTGAGGCACCTGATGTCTATCAGGACTTGCCTGTTTTTTTTGGACCGCCACCCAGGCTCTAAGGGATCATAAGATATTTCAAACTGGAAACTTCCGTGTGCAGCCACATGCTACTATGGGCTCTAGCATAGTTGACTAAGTTGTGCGAACTCTTACGAGGTGGACTAGCAGATGTAGGGGATGTAGGTGTACCGGTCTACCCCACATGTAAGGTGCTAGTGCTTCTGAAAGACTATGTCTCGGTCATCCGTCTCTCAAACACCATGTAGTGCGAGAAAACAAATGGAGGCGATCGAGTCATGTGTGGAAAAGTGCGCAAACCTCTGCAGAGTAACAAACTAATCATGATTAGCCGTGTCCCCGGTTATGGACGTTTTGAGTATCTAGTAATTGAATATCATGTGAATCTCAACATGTTACCTCTAATAAAAGCTATTGGGTTTTAATGAGTACTTTTAATTGGGATTGAGGATGCTATCAACCATTCTCAATGTTTAACAACCACCATGATAGTTAAACAAAATTATTCCTTTGATGTAGGGAAAAATTGGCTTTTCGCAAAACTGTAACCATAGAGCCTTACCACCAGCCAAATATGCATGTAGTATAGGCTTATTGTTTCATTACTCTCTATGTGTTACATTGCCAGCATATTCCATGTGCTGACCCGTTTTCGGGCTGCAACTTTCATGTTGCAGACTTTTCAGACGACGAGTAAGGAATTTAGGTCGTGGTTCTATACTCAGTGATGCCGATGGAGTTGATGGACTCACTTATCTTCCAAGCTTTCCGCTGTTATCGTTATTAGATGGCCTTAAGCCATATTTATTGTAATAAGTTCTTTTTCAGCCATCGATGTAATAAGTGTGTGATTGCAACTCTGCTATAAAACCTCGATGTACTGTGTGGTGTCAGCATTACTGATCCAGGGATGACACCGTAGCACAGTAGACGTGATCCATTCGGGTCAGGTCGCTACAAAAGCAATCATGTGTCTAGAGTAGAGACTTAAATAAAGACCCATGCCATGTAGATGGATCAGATAATTATGCCAATCCTGATTTTTCAGTGCAAATCCAGTTCTGAAATTTCCACTTGTTTAGTTGCTCCCAAAAAGGGCTATACAGTTAACCAAAATGAATTTTGCTCCTAACACCATAGTTTGTTTCCAACGATCAAGAGAGCGAGCTTCACCATAGTGAAGTGTGTTTGATTAAGTACCTGAGCCGGTGTTGTACATGCATATATGATATGTTCACCGCTCCTACCGGATGCCCGCCGCCGAACTCACCATCCGTTCTACACAAGCAGCAAAACCGATCAGATAAGCTATTTCGGTTGTTACTTGTATAGTCTGATGGAACGATCAGTTCCAGAATTACGCCATGGCGCCATCTTTTATATGCAATATACTGTGAACTGAATTTTCTGTCAGTGAAGTTGACAGAACAGAGTACTACAGGGTAGAGGGGTAGAGCATGCAAGTGGTGATTGTTGTGTGGTTTTTGCGTTAGTTATTTGTGCACCGGGCGTCTAGGTAGCGTTGGCTGGCCATCTGCAGCTCATAGGCGCACGAGCACAGCGGTGGCACGCCCAGCACCGCCTCCACTGCCCGCAAGGACGCCACCTAGCCGCCGCCGTATCTGGAGAAGAAGCAACAAGCATGTAAGAGTTTGTCCGTGGACGCTCTATGGATCGACCTGATCGATCACTTGTGCATGCACCACCACACATGGCTGAACCGAGCATCCTCCTGGCGGCGCCCAGTGAGACCGTCCTCGCAGCGGCCACGGCTCGATCGTTCGCCCCCGTGTGCACGGTACGTGCCGCAGCCTGCAGTCAAAATAGAGCGCGTAGAAGGTGAAGGCAAGGGGAGCTGGTGTGCTGGGAGGAAGACTCCTGGAGCTAGGGAGCACGCCGACGCCATTGCTCAAGGTGCAAGTTTGTTTCAATCTTCAATCCTGCTCGCTGTTGATTCTGGTTACAGTAAATTTTAGCTAGATATGGTGTAACCTAAGTGTTATGCCTAGTCTTAATCTATCTATCTATCCAATCTTCTATTCGGCGAGGTGGCTGCGCCTGTGGCAGATGTGGCCGCTGCCATGGCCGGCGCCAGACCTGGTCGATCTCCCTCTTCTGTATTTGAGAAAAAAAATCTCCCTCTTCTCTTCTGATGAGAAGGGGAAGAGATGGTGAGAGATGAAGTCGACGGCTTTGGGGAGAGGATACGGGAGGACGCCGGTAGTGAGGCGGCATGAGGAAGACAAGGTGGTTGGCAGCGGCGACGCGTGAGGGGAGGGCAAGGGAGGTGTAGTAGTGCATGTTGAGGAGTGGGTGTGCAGCGTGCCCAGTTCTCGAGGGAGGAAGGAGGTCGTCAAGGGAGTGATCCATGGGAGTTTTTTTTTCCTTCTGAGCGAGCCTAGTTGGGCTCTCTGCAGCGTCTAGGCCCAATGCACCACATGTCTTCAAATTGGCCACCAGTAGCAGCCCATAGAACAGACAGGGCCAGTTTGCAAATTTTAAAACATAAGTTTTTTAGCGCCCATGAAAAACAGAACACATATCTTTCCAAACATAATGAACTGTAGGTACCACCAAAAAAACCATAATGAACTATAGGTTGTTACAAGAACTCATGCCATCCCACAGCCGCCCTCCCACCCTGCCAACATTGTTGCAACTGCACTCGCAAGCGTTACCATAGATGATCATTTGCATGATTTCGCGTAAAACATAATAAGATCTACAAACGAATAGAAGCTACACATACCTTGGCATGCACACACATTGGAAGCCATACCAAGGTGATAAGTGTTAATAACTTGTACAACATATACAACAGTTAAGATAAGTAAAAGCAATTTGATGAGTCATGGTCTATCAAAGCAAGCTTTATTACTACTCTAATCTATCTTAACAGGTCACACATGATTACAATCCTTTTTGTGTGCAAGTCAAGCTTATCTAGTTTACACGTAACAACTTGTAGAACATTACACAATTGATGTTTGCTAATAACTTCTAGAAAGCTAAAACACTTGACATGTAAAAAGAATTTGATGAGTCATGACCTAGTAAATCAAGTTACATTACTAGTCTCATCTATCTTAACAGGTCACACAAGATTACAAACTAAGTTCTACGCAAGCAATGCTTATCTAGTTTACACATAACAACTTGCAAAACATTACAAATTTAGTTTCAAAAAATTAGGCAATCTAGATTAGTGTTTGAGTTGTAAAGTGAATAAGATGAGTCATGTGTGTTATCACAACTTTTTGGTGGTGGAATGATAGTGCCACCAAACACAACATACCAAATTATGATTTTAGGAAGCATCCAAGCACTTTCCAGACAAGCAAATGCCAATTGTGAAGGAGATGATGCCATGGCAGCTATAAATAGGCCTGTAGCATGATGATCATCCTTCCTCATCCATCATTCTCATAAGTAGAGTGCATCATTCAAGCCAAGCAAGCAGTGGTCAATACAAATCCACCATGAAGACCTTTCTCATCCTTGCCCTCCTTGCTATCATGGCGACCACCACCACAACTGCAGTTAGAGTTCCAGTGCCACAATTGCAGCCACAAAATCCATCTCAGCAACAACCACAAGAGCAAGTTCCATTGGTGCAACAACAACAATTTCTAGGGCAGCAACAACAACAATTTCCAGGGCAACAACAACCATTTCCACCACAACAGCCATATCCGCAGCCGCAACCATTTCTGCCACAACTACCATATCCGCAGCCGCAACCATTTTCACCACAACAATCATATCCACAACCACAACCACAATATCCGCAACCACAACAACCAATTTCGCAGCAACAAGCACAACTACAACAACAACAACAACAACAACAACAACAACAAATCCTTCAACAAATTCTGCAACAACAACTGATTCCATGCAGGGATGTCGTCTTGCAACAACCCAATATAGCACATGCAAGCTCACAAGTATCGCAACAAAGTTACCAACTGTTGCAACAATTATGTTGTCAGCAACTGTGGCAGACCCCCGAGCAGTCACGGTGCCAAGCCATCCACAATGTCATTCATGCTATTATTTTGCATCAACAACAACAACAACAACAACAACAACAACAACAACAACAACAACAACAACAACCGTCGAGCCAGGTCTCCTACCAGCAGCCTCAGCAACAATATCCATCAGGCCAGGGCTTCTTCCAGCCATCTCAGCAAAACCCACAGGCCCAGGGCTTTGTCCAACCTCAGCAACTGCCGCAGTTCCAGGAAATAAGGAACCTAGCGCTGCAGACGCTACCAGCAATGTGCAATGTCTACATCCCTCCATATTGCTCGACCACCATTGCGCCATTTGGCATCATGAGTACTAACTGAGAAGAGAAGAACTCTATTACTAGATATATGAAACACCGTTTTCTTAAAACATGGTTTGGTCGTTGTAGCGGTGAAAAATAAAGTGACATGCACTATCATGTAAGAACCCGAACTAGACTATTTCAAACTTGGAAATAAAAGACAAACACAGGTCTTGTCTGCATATGATTGTTTGTTTGAGTTCCATTCATGTGCCCGTTCACAAGTTCACCCCTAATTATATATATTAAGCATTAGTTAGATGTTTATGTGCATTAATCTAAAGATAACAAAATGAATCTGAAACTTGAATTTAATTAAAGTATTTTCTTGGACTTTCAAATTGAGCATTGATAGTGAGGACTATCCACATCCTTGGCTTGCCCTTGATCAATTATTTCCAAAGAAGCATTCAATTCATCAGTCACTTACATTGATTTTTGTGGCTTGTACTTCTCCTCAACATGAGTATCTTCATTGCAGCTACTCCAAATCTGCCACATAACTGAAGCATTAATAGTGCTCTTCCTTGCATCAAGGAAATATGGATTGAAGATATCTCTTGACCATGTTTTCGGGTGCAACCTTGGGAGTTTTATGTCAAAATATTCTCAAGAAGAATCCAAGAATAAACTTGCATGCTCACGTGTGACAAGGTCATATGAAGTAACATTTCCTCACCAAGGCCACACATAGGGCACACACATAACCCCATCACATGCCTTTTTAGTTATGCATATGAAGGTAGGATGTTTTTAATTACTCTGCACCAAAATACTCTTAACTTGGATTGTACCCTAAGCTTTCGTTGCCTTTTACATTTTTCTTCCCCATTAGATGAACTAGATAGTCCAGCTACCACACAATACCTTGTGTTCATCTCGGCTCTGTACAACAATTGAACAGAAGAAATGTCATTTCTTTACCATATCCATGACCAAATGTTCTCTGCTACTCCCTCCGTCCCAAAATACTGCCATCCATGTCGACAACAATGAGTCATATAGGACCGCTATGCCTCTGTTGAAGGAGGTGGTGGAGCGATCCGGAGATTATTCTGCCATCCATGTTGAGTAAAACCTCACTGGCCACTTGCTCCAACCGCATACACACCGCCATAAACAACGGTTGGTACTCAGTTCGGTGTAGCATACACCATGTAGGAAGCGAGTGCTTACTCCTAGTTACTGAATTATTGTTAGACTATGTATAGCTTCTGTACCTATGTACGTATATGGTACATATTGTAACACAACCATTATATATAATGAGATAAGCCACCCCTAGAGGGTTGTGCTGGTTCCCCAAAACTTATTGTCTTACATGGTATCACGCTAGGTTACGATCGCTTCCGCTTCTAAACCCTAATACCCGCACCGCCGCTGCAGCCGCCGCCGCCTTCACCGCCGCCGCCGCGCCACCGATCGCGCCGCCGCCATGTCGAGCGCCGCCATCACCGGTTCCACTGCTGCGGGCTTCCTCCCGGCCTCTCTTGCGGCTCTGCTCAACCTCCCGCTCGATGCCGTCTCTGTTCCGGCTCCGATCGGGACAAGGAGCATCGGCTCCGTCTTCTCCACGCCGCCGGCGCCCTCGCTTGGGCGTGACCTCGTGGTCCACACCGCGGCACCGCCGTCCGCTGCGGACTCCGCAGGCGTCGTCCCGCCGCTCCTGCCGCAAGCGGATCACACTGCCCCGCTGGCGGGGTTGGCGGCGTCCGCCCCGGCCGCGGGCCTTGCGGCGTCCGCACCGGCCGCGAGCTTTGCGGCGCCCGTCCTGGCTGCGGTCCCGCCTCCTCCCGCATCGGCTTCGGTGCCTCCGGCTGCCTCCATGATGTTTGCACCCCAGGCAGCCTCCTCGATGGGATTGTCTTCGCTGCCGCCGTTTCACTTCGGTCATCTCATCACCATCAAGCTCTCCGCCGACAACTACATCTTCTGGCGTGCGCAGGTTCTCCCTCTCTTGGGGAGTCACTACCTGCTAGGCTACGTCAACGGATCGCTTCCCTGCCCACCCGCGCTGGTAGACAGCGTGCACGGTCCGGTCTACAATCCGGCCCATCGCGTCTGGACGGGGCAGGACCAGGCGAACCTCTCCTCCATCCAGGGGTCGCTCTCGCCGGCAGTTGCCGGCCTTGTTGTCTTCGCGAAGACGTCTCATGAGGCCTGGACCATCCTTGAGCGCACCTTTGCAGCGCAGTCCCAGGCTCGTGTCTCTGCACTCCGTCGTCAGCTTGGAGAGTGTCAGAAGCTTGACTCCACTGCCACTGAGTTCTACAACAAGGTCAAGGGCCTCGCCGACACATTGGCCTCCATTGGACAGCCCCTCACCGACTCCGAGTTCAACTCGTTTATTGTCAATGGTCTTGATGAGGAGTATGATGCCTTAGTCAAGATCATCAACGAGCGGGGCAACTCGACACCCATGCTGGCACACGAGGTTTTCTCTCGGCTCCTTCTCACTGAGCAACGGGTCGAGACTCGCCGCACCAGGGGCACTGGCTCCCTCTCGGCCAACGCCGCCACCAAGGGTGGCCGCTCTTCTTCATCACCCCGGTCTCCCTTGGGGCTGCCACCGTCGCCCGCCTCGGCCCCCCCACCTACTGCGACCTTACCGGGGGCTGGCGGTCCACGTGTGTGTCAGCTTTGTGGCCGCGATGGGCACTGGGCCTCCAAGTGTCATAAGCGCTTCCAGCGAAGCTTCCTTGGTCTTGGCAATGACGGCAAAGATACACGCAACAATGCCCGTCAGGTCGCCATGGCTAATCGTCCCGCGCCGCAGAAGCAACAGGGACACACTCAGTCCTACTCCATCGATCCACACTGGTACATGGACTCTGGGGCGACAGAGCATCTAACCAGCGAGATGGGGAAGCTTCACACTCGTGAACCCTATCATGGCTCCGACAAGATCCATACCGCCAATGGAGCAGGTATGCACATCTCTCATATTGGTCAAGCATCTCTTCTCACTAGACATGCCAATAGGAGTCTTCAGCTTCGCAATGTTCTTCGAGTTCCATCTGTGACCCGTAATCTTCTTTCAGTTCCTAAACTCACACGTGATAATAATGTGCTTTGTGAATTTCACCCTTTTGATCTTTTTATTAAGGATCGGGGCACGAGGGACATTCTTCTTAGTGGGCGGTTGTGCCAGGGCCTCTACCGTCTGGAGCATCCTGGTGTCGCTCGTGTTTTCAGTGGAGTTCGGGTCTCTCCGTCACAGTGGCATGCTCGTCTTGGTCACCCGGCCACACCTATTGTCCGTCATATTTTGCGTCATCATGAGCTTCCTAGTTTGTCTAGTCATAAAGATGTAGCAGTGTGTGATGCTTGTCAGCAGGGGAAGAGTCATCAACTTCCTTTTTCGGAGTCCAGTCGTGAGGTGAAACATCCTTTAGAACTTGTGTTTTCAGATGTATGGGGTCCTGCTCAGACTTCTGTCAGTGGTCATAATTACTATATCAGTTTCGTTGATGCTTATAGTCGCTTTACCTGGCTTTACCTTATTAAACGCAAATCTGATGTGTTTGATATTTTTGTTCAGTTTCAAAAACATGTTGAACATCTTCTCAAGCACAAAATTGTTCATGTCCAGTCAGACTGGGGGGGCGAGTATCGCAACCTCAACTCTTTCTTTCAGTCGCTTGGGATAGCTCATCGTTTAGCATGTCCACATACACATCAGCAGAATGTTTCAGTCGAACGTAAGCATCGTCATATTGTTGAAGCTGGTCTTACTCTTTTGGCCCATGCATCTGTTCCGTTTCGGTTTTGGAGTGATGCTTTCACCACTGCATGCTTTCTCATCAACCGTACTCCTACTCGTGTTTTAAACATGAAGACTCCCATTGAGGTTCTCCTTAATGAACAACCTGATTATACCTTTCTCAAGGTATTTGGGTGTGCTTGCTGGCCGCATCTTCGTCCATATAACAAGCGCAAGCTTGAGTTTCGTTCTAAGAAGTGTATTTTTCTTGGCTATAGCTCTCTTCATAAAGGTTACAAATGTCTTCATGTTCCCACTAATCGTGTCTATATATCTCGGGACGTCGTGTTTGATGAGCATGTTTTTCCCTTTGCCAACCTTCCTGTGTCCACTGTCGAACCACCATCCCTGCATTCATCCTCTGTTGCTTCTGACCAATTTGATGATGTTGCATACTCTCCTTTGCTGTTACCTAACCATGGTGCAGGAACCGGACGTGGAGCTCGTTTGGAGCTGTTGGAGGATTCATCATCATCATCGTCGTCTTCTGGTGGGCACGTCGATCGCCCTATGTTGCATGGCATCGATTCGCGTGCCCATGCATGGTCACCCGACGAGCCCGTCGCGCCGAGCATCTCCACTGCTCGGTCCGTTTCGCCAGCGGCCGCCGAGTCGCCCGCGGCTCGGCCCGTCACGCCGTC